GATATATTGAGTTACATACTCTTTCCTTTAGTGATATAATTTTTTTGTTTCACAGGGTGACTTTGTGGACAGAGGCTATTATAGCTTGGAAACATTTACCAGGTTATTGACTTTGAAGGCCAAGTAAGATGTTTCTCTCTATTTAACTTGAAATTGAGCTAATGTATATACTGTACTTTGAGAGAGCAAACATGAAGTAGAGAAAAGTCTTAGTCACCAGAAGCAAACAAACTTGTCTTTCATCATTTTTCTCCTTCTTCACCTTATGACTTCCTGCTTGCTCTTTTGCATGTAATTTCAGCAATCAACAATGATCAAAGACACATTATTCAAGGGTGAAAAGTTTCCAATAACCAGAAACATTTTTAATTCATATGATAATAGAAACCTTTGAGGTTCAAACCTAAGAGAGAGCTGATTTTTGCCCAACTTTTTGTTGAATAAACTGCCATTCATTGAACTGTTCCAGATGGCCTGATCGTATTACACTTCTGAGAGGAAACCACGAAAGTAGGCAGATTACTCAGGTGTACGGCTTTTATGGTAAGTTTGAAGCATGTCTCAAGTCTTTCATTTAAGCTTGGATTTTTTTCCAGTTTTAGTACAAAAAAGTGCTATATTTTAATACTCATGACGATGTTCTCAACATGAAAAATGATTCATGAGAAAGATCAATAATTTGAAGAAACAAACTCTTGTAGTTTTAAAGAAAGAGGTGAATGAACCTTAAGTGGTCCAGATACATTTGATGTCTTTTTATTTTGTTTTTCAGAGGTGTTTTTTCAGAGGTGGTTTTGTTTTTAAGTGGTCCAGATACATTCGATGTCTTTTTATTTTGTTTTTCAGATGAATGTCAGTCCAAGTATGGAAATGCCAATGCCTGGAGATATTGCTGTAAAGTGTTTGATCTCCTCACTGTGGCTGCTGTACGTTTGTGTCACAGTCATTACATAATTATCCAGTGTTTTTTAAGAACAAATGTTGTTACATATAATTACCTAAAAATTATTTACCGATTGAATGTGGAGGTGAATAATTGTGTTAGTACATATCATGAAGGAACCAAAAATTAGTAGAGTTCTGTCAATATTCCGAAAACTGGTTGGAAAGTAAGCTCTTGACTTGTGATATTGTCTCCTTGGCTACTTAGAGGTGAATACTGTACTTTTTTTATCACCTCTGAAAAAGCCAATCAGCATGCCAAAAAAGCAATATTTACCTGACTGTGTGGAATATACTAAATGTCTTAATCACCTAATTAATTATGTATAAATGTGGATTGCTATGGGTAGTTTGCACATCTGACTGCTTGTTCATACAGAGAAAAGAAGCTTGGAGATTCCCTGTATTTGTTTTGTAATATAATGACCTTCTACTAAGTATTTATAATAGAGTCAATTTTCCAACAGGTTATTGATGGATCAATTTTGTGTGTCCATGGTGGGTTATCACCAGATATTCGGACTCTTGATCAGGTAAGTATGTGAACACAGAAATTTTTCTTTGTGATTTACTACATATTCCCACTGTTGTTGTCACTGTTGCATTTACTGTAGGTTGATAAACATCATCTAGGTTCAAAGTGAGGAGTATTGATTAACTCTATTGTCATTGTTACTTATTTACAGGTACGGACTATAGATCGTAACATGGAAATCCCACACAAAGGAGCTTTTTGTGATATCCTTTTGCATGATATTAAGTTACAGGGATGTTAAAGACTCTGTTTTGATTAAACATGGAACCACATGTATGGAACAACTTTTCATTAAGGAAAAGAGAAAAACATTTTCCTTCTATGATTTTAAGCTCCTTGTTCCGCACATACATAGCTTAATAAAGCTAATACCTTTATAACACAATTGAAATTATATCACAATTGATGAATGGTTAAGAAATTCAAATTACACCATGGAAAAATCAAACTACAGAAGGAATGCATGGTAATACCTGTAGAAATGTGTTGTTTGAAAGAGTTGCAATGATTAAAGAGTAGACCCTGACAGCAGTCATAGCAGAACAACTAATGTAATATCCCAAAAATGATAAAAATCATCTTGAAGATTAGAGGGAGACTTACTCCTCATACAAGCCTAGAAGAGAGCATGTACTTCAACAAAATAAAATACATCCTACACACTACAAAATATTTCTCTACTGTTGAACAAAGGAAGGTCCTTTAGTTCCATACAGAGACACAGTGAGAGCACTTAAGAATATCAACATTTAAATTAGTATACTTACTTTTGCCCTGTTTTGTTATGCAGAAATTACATGTAAACATTATCAGCAACAACCGATTTTAACTTAACGGTAATTTTCTTGTAGTTGACTTGGTATTATTTGCCCATTGTTCTGACTCATAAATTGAGGAATATGAAAAATACAAGGGTTCCCTGTTAGGAATACCAGTCTTCTTTGATTAGGATTGCCCTTAGTAGAAGACCAGCCAGGAAGAGAATAGAAAATAACTTACCTGACCAGTAGGTATGGGTCTCTTGGATCACCAGACAGTGTCTGAAATATGAGGAGCTTTCTGTCAAAATCACAGGCCAAGGAACTTGTTATAAAAGTAGTTCTGTTAGTTCTTTGTACAGTGTTACTCTCTTTGACATTATGTACATCTGGTGTGGTCTGATCCAGAAGATGTTGATACTTGGGCTATAAGTCCTAGAGGTGCAGGATGGCTGTTTGGGGCTAAAGTCACTAATGAGGTTACTGTTTTGAAAAGTATAACTATATTTTAGAGCTTTAGTTTAAGATTTTCCTTTGCTTGAAATTTTCCAATCTAGTTTAAGTTAAGCTTGCTTTGTTTTAATTTATGATCATGCAACAACTACTGTAACAACACAGCAAAAAACAAAAAGCCCAAATTTGTCTGAGACTCTTTGAGCCAATTTTAATGTCATTTTTGAAGGACCCTTTTTTAAACCAGGGTACACTAGAAATGTCTGTTACGCTGAATTTTCCTTGTTTGGCCAAAATTTTCATATTCTTTTTTGCTGTGAAAAAATAATCACAAAAAATTCTTCCCTATTAGTTTCTCTTAATTTTGGTATAATTTGTTCAAGAAAGAAAGAAGATCGGTGAGGAAACTTGGGTCAGTGCTCCACATCATTGACACAACAATTATTGTAACAGACATGTGGGCCCCTTTAAGTTTGAGGTTGTGGGAATGTTTGGGCAGAAATGATTGGTGTATTGCATAAAATCATGTAAAATGTGTAGTTGAATTGACAATTTCATTTTCGTTTTCCCAGTTTGTACACATCAACAGCTTGAAGCTGATATGCCGCGCTCACCAGTTAGTCCATGAAGGATACAAGTACATGTTCGATGAGACATTAGTCACTGTTTGGTCAGCTCCAAACTACTGTTACCGTTGTGGAAACATTGCATCAATATTGGCTTTCTCTGATCCTGATACAAGAGATCCCAAGCTATTTAAAGCAGTACCAGACTGTGAGAGGATTATACCTCCCAGAACCACAACTCCTTACTTTCTGTAAATAAGGAGAAGTAAAACAAGATTTAATGTTTTCCCATCATTAAAGTCAAAAGCATGCTTTGTAAATAGTCCAATTGGGTAAAGACCTTCCAATTTGACATGAGGCACTGGAAACTTGAATAGTCCTCTTGAAAAGTCATGATCATTTTGGCCATTGCTGGACAAGTGGAGATCTCAGAGAAATGGTTGTGACAGCATTTTAAGAGGGTTTTGTATCATATGCATATTAACATGGCATTTTAAGCTTGTGTGGCTGTTTCTCTGAAAGCTTCAAATTGCCTTTGTAAATATATTTTGTGAGCTAGCTGTGTATTGTATACATTGTTGAAGAGATACTTTTTCAATGTGAATTGCCAACAGTTTTCATTAGAGGGGTATAATCACATTATTATCCACCTACTGTAGTTAACAGTTAAATTTTAAGTTGGAGTCACAGATAGTATTTCACTCATCCTAAGCATGTTTTTCAGAGTTAAAACTAGTTGATGTACCGAATTGAAATTTGGCATCCAATTTGAATTGCCATTGTTTTGGACTGACTAACCTCTCACACATGTGATAATCCTTTTGTGTTTCCACAATTCAGTGCGCATGTTTCTGAGAAAACATTAAAATTGGTAACATGACCTTTTGAGATACGCTGTATTATTTCACTTGCTTCTTTCAATATTGTCTCTATCAAATGTAGGCAGAAAGTAGATATAGTTGCTTTGAACATGTAAAATCTTTTTTTTTTTCTAAATAAAGAAAAAAGCAGTGTTCTGTTGAGAATTGAAGTCTAAATGGAACTTAGTTCATGCTTGCATAGCTTTGTACTAGCAAAAGAGAAAGTTTTAGGATAAATTTGATATTATCCTATTCTTAATCAAGAGTTTGCATAAAGTGTTGAGGGAGCAGAAGAAGAATTTTTTATTTTTCTTTAAAAGAACTTACTCACTGTGGCAATGGAAACCTTGCTTATGGAGGAACGATGGGAAGGGGGTTGCAGTTTTTTTGTACCATGTTTTATTTTCTAACTCTTCATGTAATTGATTACAATATATCATGAAAATGAATTGATGTGTTTTTATTTCTTGAAGGAGACATTTAAAATTTGGAATTTTGGTTAATTCTCTCCGCGATTTAAGTGGAAGTGGCATGGAAATCTTCCCCACAAAAACGCCCCACTTTGCAAAAAAACCACCTCCATTCCGGCTCCACTGAGGGTCAATATCCTTGTCTCCTTATAACTTGAGGTCAATTTGCCTAACATGAAACGGTAAACCCAAACAAAGGGCTGCCCTTTTTTCATAAACGCCTTTGCTCTTCAAGAGAAAAACGGCATTTCCAAATCCCTCCCATCATATAGACCTGAAGAATAGAAGATCGTTTGTTTCCTGGTGAGTGCTCCCCTCTAGATCTTAAGTCGCAGTTCCTACAGTTTATTAGCGACACTTCATTAGCCATACTTGAGTAACTTTTTGCCGTGACGAGAGGGATCTGGTGTGGCAAGGCGAGAGATCAAATATGGCGGCGTTAAGGAGCTTCGGATCGTGGTCTTCACTTTGTATAAAAGCTTCAAGCGCGTCGAATTATCTTCATAACACGACGGTGCAACGTCGATACGCTCAAGGTGTTGTTCAATCCGCTTCCTTTTTGATGCAACAACGGGGTAAGTCGAATTCTACAACTTTAAACAGTACGATGTAAATTACGAAGTATATCAAATCCCGTACGGGCCTGAATTTTTTTCAGGTCCTATTTACAACTACTAGTTTCAGTAGTGTTCTTAGCTGCGAGGATCTGTTAATATCATCTCTCCACCGCAGTGCAAATATGTGAATTTTCATATATCTAAAATCGTTACGAAGTATATGTTGTAAACGTTAGCTATTAATGATATTTAGATAAAGTTTCCTCTACATTGTTCCTGTTTTTTTCAGAGAGAAAAAGGAAAAGAGACAATAAAAAAAAGAAACCTAAAATAAATCAGTGGATATATAAGGTAGGAAAATGCACTGTGCTCTTATCTATAAAATATATAATAGGGCTAGTTGGCTGTCAGCTGTAACTCAATAAAGGTTGGAAAATTCTGAAGTACAGCATTAGTGAGACAAAAATAGTCTGACTGAAGTTACAAATTTGCTTCAACAGAGGGTTGATTCATGAAACAAAGCTTTTCAAAATTTACTATGCCATTTTTATTTATTGTTTCCTCTGAAGGTTGTTACCAACTGAGTGTTTCACTTGCCTGCTGACAAAGCACAAAAGTATTTTCGAAAACTGATAAACTTATTCATAGCTATTATTTAAAGCCTTTATCCTTTAAAGGGGAACTTGCTGATATACTGATTAAGACCCTAATCAGAAGCTGCTGATTAATAATGACACTTTTGCTCATGAATGCTTTACATTGAACTATATTCTGAAAGGCAACACCTATTTCTGTGAGAAGAACCTTAAATTCATCTTACAGACTGTTAGTGTGTTAATTTTCCATGAAATCACCTACATTAGACTCTAACCCCCTTTCATACTTGTAAACAGCTTCCCATTTGTAGGATGGAAGCTTTTAAAAATTATCAGAAGTTGAGACCTGTACTAACCCCCCAAGTATTTGAATTAAGTGCTCTGAACATGCATTGAGATAACTATAATTTTACAGAAAGGTAAGGTAAGGTGAGATTTGGAGTTTTCCTCCAAAATTAGCAATTGATGAAATACTGTTTTAAATTTGTGTCTGAAATGTGATCAGAACCCTCTTTTGCTAGCCTCCAACAACTCAGGGGTAAAGAGTGAAGAGTATTATTGTTATCTGCTGTGTACAATTCACAGAATATCCCTGGAAACTTGAAGCTAAGAAGTACATATACAGATTGGCCATCTGTTTTCACTGGACCTCAGTCATATAATCCTGCTACAATTCCTGTTCTCTTCAGAATGGGACGAATGAAACACAACAAATATGGCCAAGACCGTCCCAAAGGAGCAATTGGAAACATAGAACTATCCAAGGTAATTAAAAGTAACTTCAGGTGTGAGATATTATGAAGATAGTCATATAAGTCTTAAACCCTCAGACATGTACAACCCTTTCACTTTCTTAAATTATTCCATTTGTGTTGAGCAGTCATGTGTTTACCTGAACTCTTCTAGGTTTAGTTGACAGAAGTTCTCCATTTTCTTCCTACTCTTAAAATATTTCAACCTACTCTGATGCTTTTGCAAAATCCTGAAATATATATGACATATAAATTGGTTGTTCCTTTTAGATACCAACCTTTTTTCACTTAGCTCCTCCTGCTGTTGAAAGACACTGTCAGGCTCTAAAGTGTGAGTAGCATCTTGATCTTGGCTGATTGAGCAATGACTTGGTGCTTCCTGTAGTTTTCTCCCTTTGTCTGATCATGACTGGTATACATCTGAATTTACATCGTAATGTTCTTTATTTTTGTTTAGCAACACCATTGTTTTTGGTGCTGGTCTTTTTTTTTTTAATTGTTTTGAAAATAGTTTATCATTCATAGTGTACAATTGAGCTGTGATTGAACAGAGATCAGATCTTTAAATTACTTAAATTTTGCTGTACAAAGGATGGAATAACAAAATCTGTTTTTAATTCATTTTTATCTATCAGACTCTGTCACCTCAAAATCCTGTTGGAGATTCTATATACCTTTTAAGTGGCTCATTGAGGTTGATTGTAATTCTAATAAGCTTAATTAAAGAAAGCATTTCCATTCCTAAGGTAGCCAAAGGAAGATTAGACGATGCTACAATTGATTTATTTTGTTATAATTGAATTTTTTCAATTTTTGTTTTAAGCATTATGTACTGAATGGCCAAGCAATCTCGACCAATCAAGTGCACCATTGCGAGTAACAACCAAAAATTACTTATTTGCTGGACCATCACTTCATCATCCAGGATCAAGAGTGGTCAAACTTCAGGTGTTGTTAAACTTAAACTGAAGTAATTACAATAATCAATCAGTACAGTACAGGCAAAGCGTCCAAAACCCAGAGAATCTTGTGTGATCAAGTTGCAAATGTTTTTAGTTTTGTATCTTAGTACTTGAGAGGGATTCACAGGTTTTCTTTCACACAGTGCATTAAAATAAAACAGAAGGCATCCATTACTTTCAGTTACCTATTTGAAATTACACAAAACCTGCGATTGCACGACATTATTAAGAACTTTATTTTTCAACCCTTTGGCCCCTAAGGGCAACTAGCATCTAGTATCTCCACACAATACCACCCCTGAACTAAGGACTCGAAAATAAAGGAAAAGATCACCAACTAAAGAAGCTCTTGATCGGTAAACAAATTCTCCTTGTCAGCACCTTGGGTTATGTATAGAGAACAGTATGGAGAATATGCATACTGATGTTGGAATGTTAAGGTCTAGGATAACCCATTCAATGTAATATCTTCAGGTTTACTTGAGAGATCTGGTTCTAGATGATCATGCCAGAAAGAAGTTGATTGAACTGGTGGAGGATCGCTATGATCCAGAGACTGATGAGCTTACAATTGTCACAGACAGGTAGAGTGCTCTTTCTTTCTTTCTCTTCAGGAGATTGAAGTCTGATTTTTTTGTATGTTGATTTCTTGAAGCAGTTATGGATGATGATTGACAGTTAAACTTAGTTAGGGGTGGTTGCTAACGAATTCTGTGGAACTTCTGGTAACGATCAAAGAGATGTATCTTTTTAAATTCTCACTTATATTGTGTTTTTCACGAACATCCAAACTTAAGAGCTCTCGATGCATTATTGAAGATGTGTTTTACGTTGGCTTCTGTAAGTTAAGTTGCGGCTCTCGCGGGAAACACGCACACTGTATCAGAGTTCAAATGGACATTGCGATTGGACAATTTCGATCCATTTTGGTATTTTTCTCCACCTGGATGCCATTATGGCTACGAATAGTGGCAGCATGAAATTCGCAAGTTTGGCTTCGAACTTTGGAGTTTATACGTCATTGAAAGGCCTAGTAAAGTACTTTATGATAAAAATAATACTGTTTGTTGTTTACTTATCATGGTTTCTTTTTTCTAGATGTCCAACAAGGAAACAGAACCGGGATTATGCCATGTATTTGCTAAGCGTACTTTATCACGAGTCTTGGGTGAGTCGTGCTTGATAATTTCTCCAGATATTGACACTATTGTCTTTTACTTGTAGTTTAGTTGTAACCAAAGGCTGCTTCCATCGAGTAGCTCCTGACCTTGTAAAATGCTATCATTGACGAAATACTCCAAAGTACTATGCTTTTCAATGTGTAATCTGCGTCAATCATCATCATCTCTGACCTTCCATGTTCCTTTTTTATTAATTGAAGTCTCTTAAGATATTTCCAATCTTATAGAACGTACAATTTTTGCACTTGTACGACGACTTCGTACGATTCAAAATAAAAGCATTCTGACGTAGCTCCATAGATTCTTGCAGTTATTGACATTAGGGAAAACCTGTCAACGAAGAACTGTAAACCGAAAATGTTGACATCTTTTTTTCAGAAAACCGAACCATGGGAAGCTGAGGCGAATAAAGAAGAAGCAGAAAGCGACGACGAAGATGAGGAAGAAATAATGCAGTTGAAAAAGAAACCCAAAAAACCAAGACCCTTAAAGCTTATTAACGGAGAATTGTACAGGGTCAACAAGTTCGGGAAATATTTTAAACTGTTTATAAACGAAAAAGACTAGAATGGAAGATTAGATCGAGAGAACTTTTATCCACTCGGTTTTCTTAAATTGCTTGCAACGAATGCTTTTGTACAAATGTGTGACTTCGTTTGAATCACCATGCAATGCGTGGAACAGATTGCTTTATCACCTGGGAAGAATTCCAGTCTTCAGGTGCACTGAGAACACTTTTGCAACTGATGATAGAAGAATGGAAGACTCGGAATATACCAATGGTCGATGTGGCATTGGAAAACTAACTGAGAATTTTACCGGAACGAATTGGAAAAATCGTAGAAGAGTGTCAACAATTATTTTATTGTTCTTTTTCTCTGATAAGATTGACTGTAGAGCGGAAGAGGAGAAATAATATTTTTTCTGAATACGTACTTTTTATGGCGTTTTTTGTCTTAACCCCATCTAAGGGAAGAAGGAGGTGAGACTACAAGCAGTGTCCGTGCACGAATCAAGACAGATTCGCTTGCATTTTATCGTTGCAAGCTGCTCTACTTAAAATCGGTCAAAATACCGCTTCGCTAAAATGAAAGGCACAAACGCTGGAAGTGAACATGCAGCTCTGTAGTAAAATAGACCTCTCGTCTTTTTTGAGACAACAGCTTCAGTAAAACACAGAACACTTTTCTTCCTATGACCGTAACTCTTAAGTTTTTTTTTCAGTGTCGGGGGTGCCTCCCTTCTTTCCAGCCGCGCTAAGCTTTCGTGTGGGAACGAGTTGTATGTCATCGCTCACGAGGAGTAAGCCTTGTACCAAACAGCAGATTCCAACGACTGAGCATTAAATGATGTTTTTAACCTAATGGTTAACGGCGTATTAAGTAGTTTTCAATTGCGTCGAAAGTCGTCCGCTGTTGGATTTGTTTTGCTTTACATCACTCTGTGATTGGTTAAGAAAACTCGCACCTTTCTCTCGACCAATCAGATGTAAAAGAAAAGCTGGCTTTTTCTTCGCTTTTAGAATAGTTTGCTTTGTGTTTGCTTTCTTTTTCTCTGATTGGCTGTTGTGATTAATTTGGTTTTGATTTTACGACACTCAATGAAATCTAATCTATCGTTTGAGCACTGATTGTAAGGAGTTTCACCGGCGTAAATTAAAGTATTCAGTAAAGTCATAATAGTACTTCCAGAGTGAGTAAAAGATCTCAATAAAACCAAGTATCGAGGGAAAAGGGTGTTCAGTGAATTGAGTGTTTGTTGGAGATCCTTCACTAATCATTGAAGCTGTACTCTTTCCTCCCACGAAGCTTGCTGTAAATAACTCTATTCTCTAGGTGGAAGAAAGATTCCTAAAATAGCAGCTAGGTTAAGAATATGATCGCTAGGTTTCTCCAGCAAAGACCATTCAGGGTTCCCGTATCCCGATCAGGCGTTAGGTCCAGGCTGCTGCCTCCAATAAAACAGGCAACTGAATCTCGTGCGGCTTTAATTCTTTCCAGCGGCGTAGTTATTGGGCCTCCATTTTTCACCCTAAACGCTCTTCGTACTGTGGGGCCCACCGTGCTTTTTATCAGAATATTTAAGCGCACAAGAGAGGCTCTTATAATTTTTAACGATGCGTGTTCCATTGGACTGATGAATCATGTATGGATTGCGACATTGCTTGCACAATCATTTCATGTTATGTTACATGACGTCCTGATGCACGACCGATTGGCACGTGCCGAACAAAATTCCAAAATGGAGGTTCTCCCTGCAGAGCTTCATCCACATGTTGATGCTATTGATATTGAAGAAGGTTCCTGATCAGCAATTTTCTTATATCAAATTTATTAAACTGTAGTTTTTTCAGTTCTAATTCATCCCATTTTTCTCACAGACGGTACATTAGCCGTAGCATCCTCAGCATTAACCGGCCGAACGTGGAACGGATCTTTGTGGTTGTTTAAAGATCGTGCTAAAGCACCGGATGTCCATTACTGCAGTGCTGGATGTGCTACAGAATCAGGGACGACAGACATTAAGTGGATCGACTCTAGAAGACTTGTCCTTGGATCTGATACAGGCACTGTGGACATCTGGTGTCTGAGTGGAAGCTTTCAAAGTTTAGAAAATATGGCGTCGTTGTCAGATCATGACAATACAGTTTCTTCCGTCAGTGTAGATTGTGTAAAGAGTAAAATTGTCAGCGGTAGCTGGGATCGAAGGTAAGCATTGAAGTTTTTATGTTAAGTCTTTGTCCTCGACCTCGTGGACTTCCTCTGAGACGACATAGAGGAATCTTTTAAACTGAACTGGTCGCTGCTAGGATTATTTCTTATGCTGTAAGCCCACATGTAATTTGCGATAATCAGAGAAAAAAACCCGCTCTTATTTTATTGTTGAATATGTTGAGACCCTAATATTCATTTTTGCAACACTTTAATGAGATATTTTCTGTGTACTGATTTTGGCAAGATTTCCACACAGCTCCATATTATGCATTTGGTTCTTGGATGAAGAAAACAGTGGCGAAAACAGTAGATTGCCCTTGGCACTACGGCTTTGTTTTAGAATAGTATGGGGTTACACGAAAATATTTCCATTCGATTTAACCCTTAAAACTCTCATGACCTAATTGACAAATCTCCTCTGACTTACCATTTGAAATTTGTGAAAAGGCAAGAAGTTACTTGTCATCAACTCTGGGAGTTTAAGACACACTCCATAAATTCTATGGGAGCAAACATTTTTTGTGTTCACAGACATGAATTCATAGCTGTTTGTTTACTCTTCTCTTCCCTTTTCAGCATCAAAGTGTGGGATTTAGAGCAGGAAAAATGTATAAAGTCTTACAAAGGTATGTATTAAATTGTTCTGTTCTTTTTTTTCTCATTTAGGAAATAACTTCTAAGGAATTAGTTGCTTGACAAAAATAAATGTTTGTTAATTTTAGGTCACAGGGACATGGTGTGGAGTGTTGTGTACAGTAGAACTGAGCAGGATGTTTTTGTTTCAGCCTCACAGGTTTGTGTTAAGTATGAATGCTATATTTAACCCTTTGACTTCCATAAATGATTAACAGATAAGTTCTCCCTATAATATCCATACTCTATCTAGCAAACAGATTGTGAGAATCTTTATCTTAATCTCACACCAAATTCTCATGACTAATTTACATTGACATGTGTAGCAGTTGGAAGGGAGAATTAACAATCAGATCTTGGGAGTTAAAGGGGTGAAGTAGGTGAGCACTTAGTCTCCTCCCAAGCTACTCTACAGACACTCTACTGGATTAACTTCACACAAAAACACCATCATGATATTGATGTTGGTCAGCCGTTGTAGTATTGGTTTCAGGTACTTGGATAGTTGGTATTTAGGAGACTCATAGAAAGAAACAATAGGTTGCATTAGGAAACCAGGTTTGTGTAGTTTTGACAGATTGTAAAGTTTCAGTGGCTGTGGTACTGAGCACCCTCGTCAGTAGTAGGGTTGAGTGTCAATAACCTTCATCTTCTTGAGTTTAAGTAGTTTGCTGCTGAGTTCACGTCAAAATGAGGGAGTCAGGTCATGTTTGAGTTCTTCATAGGTTTGTTTGTCATGAATCAGTGCATCCATTTTGTGGTGATAGTCAGTTTTGTCCATGACAACAGTAACTCATCCTTTGTGGGCTGGTAGAATAACTATGTACTCATGTGAAACACAAATTGGTAGAATGCAAACCAGTTGGCTATTTAGAAGCCAACTGCAAACCTAAATTCTGTACTAGATGTACCTTCTATCAGTCCTGCCCAGGTTAGTGCATAAGTCAAGCCTTGGACATTGCAACAACAGCAGAAAATATACACTAACACCAGTCCTCATTCTATCTTTACTTTGGTAACTCACATTGTGGAGGGTAGATGATAGTAATATTGCATTTTTCTGGTTTGATTTTAGGATGGGAGAGTTATCCTATGGGACACCAGAACACCAAACTGTGTGTCCAGGTTGTCAGGTATATATTTGTTACAGCATTGTACAACATAATTTTTGTCATATAATCTGTCTGAAGAGGACCTTTTTTAACCCTTTAACTCCCAGATCAAATTTGTAATTCTCCTTACTGTCAACCATACAATTCTTATACTGTTAGTTCAGAGAATTAAGTATTGGGTCAAGTAATTATCCTCAAATTGATATTTTTTGTTATTCTCATCACTTATCTGGTGGATATTGTATTGATATTGTAAGGAGAAATTCTATATTGGTCACGCATGGGACCTAAAGGGTTAATAAAGTTATCTGATTAGATTATTGGTAAAAAAGAATAGAAACACTTACTTTTTTTTCAATTCTGTGTCCATTTTAGTATTTTCAAAATAAAATGATAATAGCAGCTTTGTATCTAATAACATGAGTATCTACAGAGACGTAAAAATAAGGAGCCAGAAATTATAAACAATATGATAAAACCATTAAAAACCCTAAAAGATTTCCTTTACTTACCAATATTCGTAATGAAAGTAGAGATCTAGATGTGCAGCTGGACTTGATTTTGTTTAAAAAGTGAAAATTAGATTAGGAAAACTACCAGGCCTAATTTACTCCTTTTTTATTTCCTGTACACTCCTTTTTATCAGGAGCTTTGCACATGCATTCTGTACCTCTATATGTCACATGGCTCTTTTAAATGAACCCTTTGACCCCTTTAGAGTGACTAGCATCTTATTTCTCCTTACAATGTCACCCCTAAACCACAAGTTAAGGTCATGAGAATGAAGAAAATGATCACCAACTATTCTCCTTGTAAGCACCTTAGGAAATTTAGAGGGAATAAGCATACTATTGTTGGGGTGTAAAGGGTTATGGTCCAACCATCTAGAGGTAATCATTTGCCATGTATTACCAGCTGTTTTACAGTAATTATACATCATTTAGCTACAATAGTTCAGAGAGAGTGTGACGTCTCTCAAAATACATATTCTACTGTTCTTAGATTCCTCTCAGTATAACAGCATTCCACGTTGTGCAGACTGGAGTCCATTAGACCATCACTTACTTGCTCTTGGTTAGTGGAGTTATGCTTATTTCTAGAATAGGAAAAACAATATGTGGCAGTAGCCATTTCACTGTAAATTTATATCTTTTGACACTGCTTTTGATTACTTCAATTTTCTGAGATAATCAACAACCTTGTGAAGAGCAATCTTTCAGACCATATTTGTACAACATCCAAGCATGGAAGGATCCTTAGAGGCCATCAGTTTGAACAGGATATTTAAGCAACAAGTTGAAATAGTTTCTATCATAGTGTAACAGATTTGTGTTTGTTTCTTTTTCATGTATTGATTGATATGTTTTGAACTCCTTTAGGTTATGAAGACGGTAGTGTGTGCCTCTGTAACATCCAAAATCCTAAACAACCAGTCCTAACTTTTTGCCCTCATGAAAGGGCTGTCAACAGATTGGC